TTTATTTTTGCTTCCAAAGTGAATACCCTCACATTTATCCAAATTATACTGCATCTGCCATTAATATGCCCACTCACCCAACCTGTCCAGATCATGCTGAAGGATCTCTGCATACTCGTCACAGTTCACCCTCCCACCCACCTTGGTATCTTCTGTAAACATTAAGATGTTACATTTTGTTCCCTCATCCAAATCACTAATATATATTGTGAATAGCTGGGGTTCCTGCACCAATTCCTGTGGCACCTCACTAGTTACTGCCTACCAATTTGAAAAGGAGCCATTAATTCCTACTCTTTGTTTCCTCTCTGCCAACCAGTTACCTATCCATCTCAATACACTTACCCCAATTCCATGTGCTTTAATCTTGCACAATAATCTCTTATGCGGGACTTTGTCAAACACTTTCTGAAAGTCCAAATGTATCACATTGACTGACTACCCCTTGTCAGCTCTACTAGTTGCATCTTCATAGAATTCCAACAGATTTGTCAAGCACGACCTTCATAAATCCATGCTGACTCTGTCTGATCCCGCCACTGCTCTCTAAATGCTCTGCTATAAAATCTTTGACAATGGATTCGAGAATTTTTCTCACTACCGATGTTAGGCTCACCGAATTGAACAACAGAGAAGGTTACCTCAGAGTACAACAGGACCTTGATCAGACGGGCCAATGGGCCGAAGACTGGCAGATGGAGCTTCATTCAGATAAATGTGAGGTGCTGCATTTTGGAAAGGCAAATCAGGGCAGGATTTATGCACTTAATTGTAAGGTCCTGGGTAGTGTTGCTGAACAACGAGACCTTGGAATACAGGTTCATAGTTTCTTGAAAGTGGAGTCCCAAGTGCACAGGAGTGTGAAGAAGGTGTTTGGTATGCTTGCCTTTATTGGTCAGTGCATTGAGTATTGGAGTTGGGAGGTCATGTTGTGGCTGTACAAGATATTGGTCAGATCACTTTTGGAATACTGTGTTCAATTCTGGTCTCCCTGCTATAGGAACGATGTTACGAAACTTGAAAGAGTTCAGAAAAGATTTACAAGGATGTTGCCAGGGTTGGAGGGTTTGAGCTATAGGGAGAGACTGAATAGGATTGGGCCATTTTCTTTAGAGTGTCGGAGGCTGAGGGGTGACCTGAAAGAGGTTTATAAAATCATGAGGGGCATGGACAGGGTGAATAGCCAAAGTATTTTCCCCAGGAAAGAGGAGTCCAAAATTAGACAGCATAGGTTTAAGGTGAGAGAGGAAAGATTTAAAAGAGACCTAAGGGACAACTTTTTCACACAGAGGGTGGTGCGTGTATGGAATGCGCTGCCAGAGGAAGTGGTGGAGGCTGGTATAATTACAACATTTAAAAGGCATTTGGATAGGTATATGAATAGGAAGGATTTAAAGGGATATGGGCAAAATGCTGGCAAATGGGACTAGATTAATTTAGGATATCTGGTCAGCATGGATGAGTTGGACTGAAGGGTCTGATTCCGTGCTGTATATCTCTGTAACTCTATGTTTTCTCTTTTGGTGATCACCTTAAATCAGAATCATCTGGGTACAGATGCTTCTGCCCTGGAGACTTCTGTTTACTGCATTGAAAGCTTCCTTATTTCGGAAACTTCCAGTAAATTGAGAACAATCCTTTCTTGCTCAAACTATACAAAGCACCAGTCAGACGACATCTGAAATATTGTGAACAGTTTTGGGCCCCTTATCTAAGGAAAGATACACCAGCATTGGAGGCAGTCCAGAGAAGGTTCACTGGGTTGAACCCAGATATGGAGGCACTGGCCTATGAGGAGACGCTGAGTAGGTTGGGCCAATGCTCATTGGAGTTTAGAAGAACAAGAGGCCACCTTATTGAAACATAGCAGATTCTTAGGAGACTTGACAGGGTAGATCCTGAGAGGTGCTTCCATTGTGGGAAAGTCTAGGTCAGGGAGAATAAGGGCGGCACGATGGCTCAGTTGTTAGCACTACTGCCTCACAGCCAAAGGGACCTGGGTTTGATTCCATCCTCAGGCAACCGTCTGTGTGGAGTTTGTACATTCTCCCTGTGTCTGTGTGGGTTTCCTCCCACAGTCCAAAAATGTGCAGGTTAGGTGGTTTGGCTGTGTTAAATTGCCCATAGTATTCAGGGGTCTGTAGATTCAATAGGTTTTAGGGGGATGGGCCTGTGTGGGATGCTCCAAGGGTTGGCATGGACTTGTTGGGCTGAAGGGCCTGTTTCCACACTGTAGCAATTCTAATCTTAGAACAAGGCATCATCCATTCAGAACAGAGATGAAGAGGAATTTCTTCTCTGAGGGCAGTGAATTTATGGAATTTTTTACCACAGAGGGATGTCAAAGCTGGGTCATTAAGAATATTCAAGGCTGAGATAGTCACATTTTTAATCAGTACGGGAATCAAGGGTTATGGGGAAAAGGCAGGAAAGTGCGGAGGATGATCTCATTGAATGACAGCACAGACTCGATGTGTCGAATGGCCTACTTGCACTTCTATATCTTATGGTCTTGTGATCCCAGATTCTCCTGTCTCAACATATTAACTAAAGTTGTTCATCCAAGGCACAAAAACAGAAGTTGCTGGAAAATCTCAGCAGGTCTGGCAGCATCTATGGAGAGAGAAGCCGAGCCACACAAATGGACTGGACACGGTCCTCCAGCTGAGGCCTAATTGCTGATGAAGAACAGGATAGGGAAATTGCTACCTCTTTTATTGTGTGGTTTTAAACAATCTTCTCAACTTACCCTGGCATTTTCAAAGATTTGTATAAATGGGAAAGGAAGGGAATGAATCACACACATGAATAGCACAGTGGCTCAGTGATTAGTACTGCTGCCTCACAGCACCAGGGACCCGGGTTCAATCCCACTCTTGGGTGACTGTCTGTGTAGAGTTTGCACATTCTCCCTGTGTCTGTGCAGGTTTCCTCTGGGTGCTCCAGTTTCCTCCCACAGTCCAAAGATGTGCAGGCTAGGTGGATTGGCCATGCTAAATTGCCTGTAGCATTCAGGGTTATGTAGATTAGGTGGGTTAGAGGGGGGTGGGATGCTCTGTGGTTTGGTGTGGACTTGTTGGGCTGAAGGGCCTATTTCCACACTGTAGGGATTCTATTAAAAAAAATTTGACAGTCTGCAGATGAAATTTAATTTTACTCCTCTCTCCGCTTTATTCATCACAGCACTGGTGCCATACTGCAGTATATATTCTGAATTTTAAACTAATTTTTATATTTTAAAACTGACCACTAAAGACTGCAAAAAGATGACCACCTAAGGATCATCTTTTTTTTTGTGGATTGAAATACACCCATCTCCAGAAAGAACTAAAGGAACCATCCAAACTGATGTTGACTAAATACCTTTTCATAAAAGGCATTCAAAAGATTAATTTCAAATTGAATTGATCATTCAGATACAAAGACCCTGGCTGTCTCAAACTCTCAAGGTAAGAACGCTGCAACATGGGATCAGGCTAATAACCCACATTATTTTGAAAAAGGACATCATGTGGTGATACAGCCATACTTGCTGTTTACTTTTAAAATTCAGCAAGGAGCTGCTAGCAGACAGAGTTCTATCAGAAAGGCTCTTGACTAGTTCAAATAATAGTCAAGGTAATAAACAATGATACCTTGAGAATGGGAGAAGGACTCTCCCCAATCTGTTCCAACTTCAAGTTCATGTAATTCTTGTTGCTCATTGTAGACTGGAGAAACAAGTTACACTTCAAGCAGAGATAGCAAGAACTGCAGATGCTGGAGTGAGAGATAACAAAAGTGTGCAGCTGAAGGATAACAGCAGGCCAGGCAGCATCAG